AGTATTTGCTGGGTGTTTTGACACAGCCATAACAGAAAGAATAGATTTGGTATTTGTTTCAGCTTGTTACATTTACATTTGAAGGAAAGGAAAAAAGTTACCTAGATGTATTACAATACTAGAGAGAATATTTTTCAAAGATGGATAGATTTTAGGAATGGCATTTTTTTCCTGTTCTTGTGAAGAGTTTTTTAATGTTGAGCTGAACCAAATAGAAAAAGATTATGAAAGATGATGAGAGAATCATAGCCAATGAAGATAAACCAGTAGATCAGCACAATTCTTCAGAGTAAGTTATTATTGCAGGTGAAATACAGGATGGGATTCTATGGATATGGGTTTGCAAAGACATCCTGCATGGAGATACATATTGAAGTCAGAAAGCTTCTGTGCTAGAGAAACAGAGCAGCAAAGGAGGAAATATTGCTGTGTCTTTGGAATAAAGCAGTTTTATGCCTCTTAAAATACAACAATAGGAGAACTGACAGAACCTCATATTAAGCACAACTCCTAATCAAATGGAAAGTGATAACAAAACATCTTGTGGTTCCTGGCAGAAATAGCTGTAATACACATCTATATCATTTCCAGTATTATGTTTCTAGTCTTATTTCATTGCAATCCAATCTGCTTCATAAAAGCATGGTCAGACAGTGAAAGATCTAATTTGATTCTGGAATCTGTTAGATCAAGACAGTGAATTCCAAGACATAAATGTGGGCTACTAACTAGAATGTAATCTTATCTGCCTTTAAAGTACGTGGAGACCAGAAACAGAGGAATTACATGTGTGTACAAATGCATTCAATTTATTATTGAATTGGCAGAAATCTTCAAAATTATTTAAATTCTTTTAACTGTACAGTTTTCTATTGCTCTATGACTTCACTCACAGTGACAGGCAAGTCCTTTTACTCTTTATCTTTCAGCCATATAATGGAGCTAGGAAAGAAAGATTCAGGACACATGGTAACAAATGGGACCATCCTGTTACTAATTTCTTTTTATTGTTTAAGTCAATGTAGCTGTTAAGCCTCAGGTTCTTTTCTGGGTATTTCAAAAGGTGTGAGGACTAGACCCATCTGTCTATGTGATCATAGGAATTTTTTTAGCCCTGTAGGATAAAAAACTATTCTCTGTGGTCCATTGTAATGGATTGATAACTGAAAAGCCAGAATGGAAAAGCCCAAAATCTGAATCGTCTCAGGAGCAGACCTATATAGTTATAATGGTTTTACATTAAATTGTTTATGACAACTTATTGTCATTAAATGCTAACCATTTAGCGATGCTGGGGAAGAATTCTATGTCACAGGCAATCAGATTTTTGTGAAGCAACGGGAAACGATTTGTTCATTCACCTTTTCCATTGTTGGTGTTCACTGTGTATGGCAAATGGCAATTGTGTACAATGGCCGGTGAAAGGAGGGAATTCTTTACCCCCTCCCAGGTCTGACCAGAGCTCCAGAAAGAGGATGGGGTAATTTTTCCTGCCCAGAGCTGGGCACACTGTGTATGCCTCACACCTGAATGGGACTGCAGCCAAACCCCCAGTGGGGAAGAAGAGACTCTGAAGAAGTCATGAGAAACCAACACAGAGCAGGGATGTGCTCATGTGTTAATACACATACATTTAACAAGAAGGTTTACTCTGCCCTTCACCATTTGCCATCTTTTTGGTCTCTGCTGTTTCCTTTGAGCTCTCCAAGCAAGGGTCTGTTTTCCACATATGTGATGCAGTAGAAAAGCATTACATCATCCTTTTTTGCTGTATCCATTGGACAGCAGTGCCATATTCTTCCTTCTCAGTGTTTTCCACTCACCCAGCATCCTTGGAGTGGCAGCAGAACGTGACTGCTGTGCATGCTGTGCCTCTTGCAGGGCTGGAGCAGCATCCTGCACTTCAGAGTTCTGCTTGCAGCATCAGGCAGGGCTGAATGGAAAATGCCATGACCAATTTAGAAGAAATAAAGGCCATTCATCTGCCTTTGGGGAGTAACCCAGATACAGAGCTCACTGTGCTGGGTGTAACATGGAGAGATGCCCTGTCTGGCAGAACCATTGAGTCAAGAAATTCAGAGCAGGAAGAATACAAAATAGCATTGCCCTTCTTTTAAAAGTGAGAACCCAGGCACAGTTTCTTCTCCACCAAGATCAAGATGAACATCTGTGGCATGTGAAAGAAGCAAATCTCAGAATAACAAATCTGAGACACTTCTTTCATGTGGGGGATAGCTAAGACACATTAAATGGGGCTTTTTAGGGACTCTGACTTAATTCTTTCCCAGTAATAAAACCTCAAGGTCTTACTTATACTTGAATATGTTAAGTTCAGCTGATTTACCTTAATATTTGTTATTAAAGTACTAGTTTAAGATTAAGCACTAAAAAGCATATTTTCCCACTGAATTTGACACAATATTTTTGAAGTTCATGAATCTATTAAGCCCTGAACACTCTCTAGTGTATTAGACAACAGTAGTGATTTACATTATTTTGACATTGCAAATGAGTTTTCAAGGGTAATGGATTTCATATAGGGAGATTAAAAGATAACATTCCTTCATTTGTGCATGCTGACTTCTTTCCCCCCATCATACTACATTTAGCAAAATGAATAAGGCAGAAGCAATGCTGGTGTATTTTTATGCTAATTAAGGTATTTTAATTTCAAATAGCATTTCTGAAGAAAAGATACACTCCAAAAAAAGTGATGCCAGGGCAAAACTAATGAATTTTCATTCTGTTCAGTATACTTATGCTTTCATGAATTCTTTTTGTTATATTCTGGTGCATGAGAATGCATCAGTAGGCACTCAGAATATGCAGCCCACAGATCTGATTTTTACAGAAATCCAGCTTAATGTTTTTAGCTACAAAATAAACTTCACCCTAAAAGTGTTATTTTTAGTGACCAGTTAGGTAATAACTGTAGGAGTACATACTTCAGGAAGGCAGATAAGGATTTTTTGGAAAACAATGCATTGTAAATGACAAGAAGTCTTTGTGCACAAAGGATGTATTTAGTTGTTTTGTACCTAAAGTGGGCTATTCTTAGACAAATTTTAAGGGTAGGCCACTCTTGTCCCTGAAAGTCTGCAGCTGAGAGCTCACACTTGCTGCAGTTCACTAATGAAAGCAGTGTGATGTATACTTTAATTAGTTAAACTGAAGTTTCACTGCACTGATTCCTCTCTTCTGTATCTTGGAGCACCCTTGGCTCCTTGGGAGTGAGAATGGTTTTGGCCATGGTGCTATAAATCAGAAATCTCCATGGTCTCTGCATGAAGCCCATGGCTGCTGGGCCAGTGGCTCTGTTCTAATGCTGATGGTGAGGGGCACAAGAAGCAGCCCTTTTTAGCATCACAGTCCAAGGATTGCACTGCTCTGATCCTAGACAATTCCAACAAGAATTCTTAGTCCATGGCCCCTCCAGGCACAGATTCACTGGCAAAACACTGACCTGCTGTAATTTACTTGTGCATCCTGTCAAGAACAGGGCACAATGAACCAGTCTGTCCTTCGTGTAACACTTGTCACAATAGCAATATAAAGCCAATGACATGGCTGAACAGGATTGTTGATACCCATCAGGACAGATCAATAAATGATGTTTCTTTTACTTCCATAACTCTAGCTTACCCGAGTGCTTGTATAAAGCAGGGCACTGGGCCTGATCTACTGCACTGCAGTAAAATCAACAATGCATTCCACAGAGCCAGGCAAATCTCATGTTTGTTCTGCTGGGTGAATAGACTGAGAAAACATGCTCCTCAAAAATATTTTAAATCACATTGTTATAGTTCTTGTATAGTTCTTTGTAACACTCCAGAACTTTCACTACATGAGTAAACACTGGTAGCTCTTGAAACCAAAACATTATTCAGGAACTTGATTTGAAAGAATTTCTTTTACAAGTAACAAGACAAATCATACTGATTTTCTCTAAATCGTTTTGGAGGAAGTGAAACAAACAATTTGGGAAGCTAACAGTAACTGATAGGTAAGTTCCAGTTCAGCAGAATCCAAAACTGAAACTAAAAATCTTATGTCTAAATAAGGGAATGTGATTCCATCTAACAGAAAATTCCCATTGTCAGAGAGGAAATACAGAAACTTTCTATAGTTGAAAGTAAATTCAAACTTAGGATATTCTTACCCTGCTGTGTAGAGCAATAGTACTACTTTTGTAATTAGAAGAAGATACTTAGTTTAAAATACCCCGAATTAGGAAATATAAAAGTTTTAAAGTTTTCAACAGACCTAATTTTTTTTTCTGTGAAGAACTGACCCATTATAAGCATTTTTCTTGTCTGTAAAATTGTGTTTTCTTCCCCAGGTCTTCTTGAACTGGGACAGATTTTTACTTTGTTCAGTCAAACCTTGGACATTGAATAAATGTATTTTCTTTCTAATTAAGAGATGATAAAAAGAATTATCTTAGTACTGAAATAATCTAATCTTGGTATAAGTTTGCAGTTTGTTGTCCCTGAAATATGAAGGAAAGAAAGCCAGCTCATCATCTCAGCTTAGTGGCAGGGCTCTTCCTGATTGTTGGATAGATAAGAAGAGTGAAGATGAATGCTTGCTTGTTATAACCATCTACTCAATACAAAAAGTGATAGACTTTGGGGAGTAAACATTATCCTAAACTCCAAGATTTCTTAAGGTAACAAAATAAAATTTAGGTTTCATAATTTCCTTAAAAGCCAAAATATGCTTTATGTGCATGAAGATTGAACAAATTCATAGAAATCACAACCTGTTAAGGCCAATGGGAGATTTCCTTCTGGAATAAAAGACCTCTTATATAGAATACTAGCATTATAAATTTTAACATGAAAGACATATGAATTACAAGTTGGAAGTACGTGCAAAGAGAGGATTGAAAATTATGAAATGGAAAACTTATCCCAAGATTTTGGTCTAGTGCAGAGTAAGTGAATAACTTTTAACGGTTAGCCCCTTCCCTCTGTAGTAACTCTGTGTTATCCTTCCAGGTACCTGGGAATCACAAGGCCCCTCACATACCCTGTAAGGCAGAATGGGAAGTGCATGGCCAAGATGATCCTGTGTGTCTGGCTGTTGTCTGCCTCTATCACCATTCCCCCGCTCTTCGGCTGGGCCCAGAACGTCAATGACGAAAAGGTTTGCCTCATCAGTCAAGACTTTGGCTACACCATTTACTCCACAGCAGTTGCATTTTACATCCCAATGTCAGTGATGCTTTTCATGTACTATCAGATCTATAAAGCTGCCAGGAGGAGTGCTGCTAAGCACAAGTTTTCTGGTTTTCCCCGTCTGGAAGAAATGGAAGGGATTTCTGTGAATGGACTTGTAAAACTGCACAAGGAATCTGAAGAATGTACTAATTTTTCACGACTCCTAAAGCACGACAAGAAAAACATTTCCATCTTTAAAAGAGAACAGAAAGCTGCCACCACCCTTGGGATTATTGTTGGGGCTTTCACAATCTGCTGGCTGCCCTTTTTCCTCCTCTCAACTGCAAGGCCCTTCATCTGTGGTACAGCGTGCAGCTGCATCCCCCTCTGGGTGGAGAGAACATTTCTGTGGCTGGGCTATGCAAACTCCCTCATTAACCCTTTTATCTATGCCTTCTTCAACCGGGACCTGAGGACAACCTATCGCAACCTGCTGCAGTGCAGATACAGGAACATCAACCGCAAACTCTCGGCCGCGGGCATGCACGAGGCTCTGAAGCTTGCAGAAAAGCCAGAATTCGTTCTGTAAGGCCACTCATCCTCTACTGTGATCATTTGCTGTTTTATCACATTGACTTTTCCCCCACAGGTTTGAAAGAAGTGTTGCAGGAGGAACCAGTTGAGCACTGTTAATGCAGTCAGCAGGAAACAAGGTAGAGCCCACCTGTCCTAATGGGCCTGGAAAAGCAAGAGCACCATCTAGAGAATTTGGGTCTAAGAGGAATATAAGAAAGGACGGAAGTGAAATGTAGCACAGGATGTTAGAGCTGTTAGTGAGGAAAAAGCAAAGTTGGCCTAATCCGTTTGTTTGGCCCAAAAAATGTTTAGTAGGTCTGAATGTTGGATGCACCTTGTGTCCAAGAGATTCTTTGCTGTAATAAAGACCTGAGAATGGTGAAAAGTTAATTTCCTTCCACTTCAGTATTACAAAAATAAATCATTAAAGAAGAAGCTGAATCAAAGAACTTGTATTCCTTAGAAATATTCTTTATGATAAAAACCCATATGTTCATTAAACATTAATTTACTGGATTGCCTGGAAATGAACTATGTTGTGAAATTCAATATTGCCTTTGCACAGCAACTCTGGCACTGAAAGAATATGTCACACTTCCAATGTGATTAAATAGTTTGAGTAAAGTCACATGGACCAAGACCTACTGCTGCATACAGCCCTGCAGCACAGTCAGCTGCAGTGCTGCTGTGCAAATCACACCAGGTAATCTTGTACTGTATTTCTAACATAACAAATGTGTCTGATTGCAGTTTATTTCAGGATCTGTCTGGTCTTTGTCCATCTCTTCATTCTTTAATTCTCTTGGCTTTCTCAGCTGAGCACTTCTCTAATCGAGATGGAGACTGTCTGTGCACAAGTCATTTCTGTGATGTATGGCTGGTCCTTGCTCCACTTCAGTAGTTAATTTACTGTCTATTTGAAAGCTCTTCTACTTTCTGGGACTTCTTTCTTTTCTCAAGTCAGTAAGGAAAAAACAAACATGAGACCTTATGACTTCAGAGACATCTGGACTTTATCCTTAGAATCTGATTTTAATAATCACTTGTGCTTAAAGTGATTTAAAGCCTTGCCGTGTGTATGAATAAAGACAATTTACTTTTTCTGGTTCTAGCTTTTTCTACCATCATTGCAGTTTGTCCAAATATGTGATTCTACTTCTCTTGGCTTTAGTAAACAGATGTCTTCTGTCAGTGTAGCAGGGCCAAATAGTATAACAATTTTTTATTAAAAAATTAAAAATAATCATGTTGGTTATATTAATATATTACTAGTAATGTATTAATATAACATGCAGCAATTTTGTAAGATACTATTATAATAAAATAATAATAAAACAACTCATAAGAACAAGATGAGTTCTTTGGCCCAAGTGTGCACTGCACACCATGTTCCAGCTGAAGCAGAGGGTGAGGGTACATTACTGAGCAAAGACTTCAACCTTCAGAGACTGATCTGCTTTTTCAGATATTGGGACACCAGTGAGGAGACAATGTGTTCATTATCAAATTGCCTCAGCATCAATTCCCACGTCAGGCTAACTTCTGTCCCTGCTTTCTCAAGTCTGAAGGCAAAACGACTTCAATGAGCTCAGTGATGCTCATTTGGGCTGGGCAGGGGCAGTCGGTGCCAGAGCCCTTGTTCCAAGCTTGCAGAGGTAGCTGCAGACACTCGAGCCTCTCCCTGGCACATAGCCAAGAGTTGGGTGATGTGCTGAGCCACTGAAACAGGCTGCAGCAATTTTAGATGCATTCATGCACTGCACTAGGGAGTACATTTTGGCCTCATTTTCACAACAGAATTGTAGAGTAAGAGGCTGTATTCCAGCTTCAAAACAGTTTTTAAAGAAGTTTCAAACTTATCTGGGACAGTCTTATTTCTTTAAAATGTTCCAATATTGTGCACAGGGACAAGAAGAGATTTGGGCCCAGAAGCTCTGGAGTACAGAGTTAACTCAAGTATATTTTCCATATTGAACATGAAATGATTGTTGTTTCTTTATTGCTTATCAGAGTAGCTTTTTTTTTTTTTTGGTTCTTTTTTTGTTTGTTTCCAGCATAAAGGAGAAGTTTTCAAGGTCCTCTGTAACTTTTTTTTCCTGGATAACGACATACACTGGAATGTACAAATAGATGTATCTGGGAAAACTCCAAGTGGGACTATGAAACTCTGAAAGTGATTTTAGAATTGTGGACAGAAGTTTCCGCATTTTTATTCTGCAGGAAAGCCTGAGAAGCTGTGTTTCCTCCAACTAATATGATTTTTATTTTTATTTTTTTTTAAATTGAATATGTGTCTTGTGAGTCAGAAATTGACATTTGCCCAGCTGTCACTAAAGGCAATTGCTTTCCTCTGGGAAAACATCCTGCAGGAGTCCAGCTTTCCTCTACCATCTGTTTCAGGTAATGAGAGCCCAGGAAGGAATAAAAGTTGTTATGGTGCTTATGCCAATCCTGGAAGTTTTTTGAGATAAACATCCATATTTGATCTCTGGATGTGTTTGGAAAGAAAAACCAACGAAAAAATACTCCAAAAAACAAAACACCACAAAGTTTCTCCATACACCCAAATCAAAATATAGACAAATGGAACACCTTCTAGATGGAGCTGTCTTTGAGGGGAAAAGTGAAGAAGCTGGGAAGATTAGAAGAATGTCCTACTGCCCAAGCACACAAAGAAGTTGAGAAGAAGAGAAAGTTTGCAGACAGAATTCTAATGGGAAAAGGCTTTAGGAAGAACAAGAAGGACATAATTGTTTGAGTTTGTGAACAGGATATTTCCCTTTTTTAAAAGGTAAATAATGAAACTGAACTGCATCGCAATATCTAACTGCAGCAATAGCCTTTTTTTCACTTAGATAATTTACTACACATCTGACAAGGGAGTAATACAAAAATGGGTGTATGAGAAGTCTATGTCAACATGTGCTTGTAGCAAATCCAAGAAGTGACTACACTTATGGTCTGTGTGTTCCTCCATGTGTTTCCAGAGGAAAGCCAGAAGGGTGAGTCAAAAGATGGGATTGTGAAAAAAATGGGAATAAAAGACTCCAGGAACCAGTCAGAGCACAGGCAGGCCAGCATAACACTGCCTAAGTGAGGAGGGAGAAAGTGAGAACTGCACTCCCCCTGCCCTCTCAGCGCAGCTTTGGAGAGGGAGACTGTCTGTGGTGGAGCCTCATGGCTGACACTTTGCCAGCTCCCACCACTTGCCAGCCTGCACATCCAATACTGCAACGCACTCCTGGCACTTGCCAAACTCCTGTTTAGCAACAGCCTCACTGGGGAGAAATAGAAATAGCAGAGTAGTAAAACTGTGACTTGGTGATAATATCTTATTATTACGCCTCTACCGCTTCACATTTCAGTTTCATAAGGAGAAAACCAATATTTTTCATTCTCTGTTCGAAGCTAGCACCACCTGCAGAAATATGTGTCAAAGAGCAGCAAATAAACCTACTGCAATGAGACAAAGAAAAGAATTATGTATCAAATTAATACTATAAACAATACAGACAAAATCCACTCACTCTTTTGCCCCTGCTCCCCAGCAGGAAAACAGATTTCCAGGCAGCCATTGCTCCAAACAGTGCAGCGTTATTTAAAGAACATTATGGAGTTAAGTTTTTGGATTACTGACCAAGATACTGCAGTTACAGAACTGGAAGGTGTTGGAAGCAATGCCATTGGTTTTTGTGCTTTCCCTATCTATTTAATTTTCATAATATTTTTCTGATTCTACAGGAAAAAACCCTATTTAAATTACAGTATTCTTGAAGAAAGTGCAAGATCAATGCGTCATCAAATCCTCTTCACAGTTTGCTTAAGAAGTAATTCTTGTCTTTTAAAATGTTTCTCAGGAAGACACAGAGAAAGAGAAAGGAGAAAATTAAGAGACTTGGGGAATGGTTTTAATATGCAAAATTATTAATATCCTGGAACAGAAGACACCTCTTATTTCAAATGCTGGCGAGGTAGGGATTGTGAGGACTAGATTTTTTTGTTTTCAAGAAAGGCTCAAGCAAGTAAATTTAAAAATAGCTTAAGAAAAATTGAATCAGAAGGGTAATCTTTAAAATTTGCAAGAAATACAAAATTAGGTCCCTCTTCATGGTTTTAAATCTTCTAATGTTATTACCACTAAAGATTGGGTTCAGCATGAGTCTGAAGGGAATTATATTATTTATATCCACTTTCTAAACATTTGCCTAATGGGTCTGTCTTTCCCCACACTCAAATTCAGGTTCTCTGCTCTTTCACTGAATCCCTTCTCACCAAAGGAAAGTTCCAAAAGGACAGAATGGCTTTTATTTGCTGAAAACTGAAAAGATGCTTATGATTCCCACATTCATTTCTCAGTGCTCCAAGCTGAAAACCCCCATTGAGCTACTTCTAAAGGATATTAATATATGGTGATTGCTGAGGGTAATATTTTGACGATTTGTGTAACATTGTGACTTTACTGATTGAAATTATAATTTGTCTCTTTTGCAGTGTTTCACATAGAGCTAGTTGAGTTCCTTCAGGAAAAAAAATGCATTCAAATGTATCAAAGTTTCCAGAAGAGTTCATCCAGTTTTATAAACGAACATACCAGACTGAATAAATATTTTGCCTTTAGTTTTCTGTCTACTCAGTCAAAATCAACGATATTTCATTAATTCAGTAGTTGTGTGGTCTTGCTAGTTCCAGGAAATTGTGTTTACAGTATACTTATTTTTACCTTTTGCAAGAGAAGACAAAGCAAGCCACTGAAGTATACTTAGTCCAGCCCTTTTGAAAAATCCCCTTTGAATCATGGAAAAATAGAAAAGAATGCAACTGGATAAACTCATTGCCTCAGAAAACTTGGCATCTCCTGCTAAACTAACCAGGTCTGTGTAAAAACAACAGGAATTCCTCAGTCAAATCTACCATTTTTGCAAGGAAAATACACAATTAGGCAAATTAAATTAACATTTACTTCCCAACAGTAGTGTGAAAGCTGACAAACCCATCAATTTTATTTCTGTCTTCAAAGAGAGCAGTAAATGCAGCAAGTGAAAATCATGCTAAGGACCTTTCACTTGTCATTACAAGAAAAAAAAATCAGAAGTTCAACTAAGCACGTAAAGTTAATGCTGCAAAATAATTTTTTTTTAATATTAGTATATCCTTTCTGAAATAATCTCCTATCAGCCCAGAAAAGAGAAAAACAACATTCTCTAGGGCAAATCATATAAAATCCAAAAATTTATTCTGGAATGAAAAGAAAACCTACAGTTGCCTGTAGCATAGAATTTAAAATGTCTTTGTCTTTCCTTTATATCTAGTTTTGAACTTGGATGTGATTATCAGCCTTCCTTTAATTTTGACAATTTTTTACCAGGATGTGTTTTCATGTAATAGAATATTTGAAATAAGTGAGAATGCAGGTTTGTCTGTAAAAATGCCTGCTCCTGAAACAACTAGAGTTATGAATAATTCCATGGTTTGAAAAGGGAGGCTATAACAAGACAAAAGAGTGCCTTGCTGCAAGCCTGGAGAGGGATGCCCTGAAACCCCCTTGTAACCTTGCAAATGTTGTTTTCAACATTTCAGCCTGGCTGCTGTACAAGAGTCGCTCTTCCCTTCACCCAGCTTGAGGAGAGAGGCAGGAATTTGATTATTCCATGCAAAGATTTTGCAGTAATTCTTTGTCCACAGCCAATTTTGCAGAAGCAAGGCAGAATTCCTCATTCCTGCTCTGGCTCCTTCTGTCCCTCTTACTTGTGTGGGTCTCCATGAGCTTGTGGAGGTTTGTGCTGCCACCAGAGCTGGAAGGCTGCACAAATGCAGGGCTCTCAACAAGGTCACCTCTATTTAGTGAAGGAATTTAGGGTTTTTGCCACTGAACTGTGTAAAACAGACTGAGAACTTCCTCAGTTCCCACAACCACCCAAAAAATGGTAAGTACAAAGCCCCCAGAATGCTCCATTTCCCCCAATTTCCTCATTTGAATGGGATTTCAGAGAATTATCTCAATAGACATGATCTAATTGCCTCTTGAGAAATGCTTCCATTTATTTCAGTGGTATATTTGGTCAGAACTTCTAGTTGCTCCAGGATATTGCTCATCTAATTCATCCACTTTTTTAACAACAGGAGAAGTTCTGATTTCTCCAGGGAAAAAGAGTCATGACCAAATGTGCTTCAGAGCAGCCAGAAAAAGTCGAGCCAGACCAGGAAGAAGAAAAATGAAGAGTTGGCTTCTGAAGAACTGGATGGATTTATAAAATGTACTTCATCTTCCTTTGATGGGAGTGTGCTAAAAATATTCCATGAGCTCAATACATTGCATTAGATACATTTCTATTGGAAGTGCTCACATCTTGTTTGTTATGGAAGAAAACGCTGTTACATACAAATGAAAATAGTTTTCTGCCTGAGAAAGCCAAATAATTTCAGCAATAAGTTTGACAAAGGGTGGGGGGAATGCCACTAAAACTCAAAGATAAAGCCTTGTACAGATTTCCACCACATTTAATTATGTAGAAGAACATTTGTATGTTTACCATGCTTGTGGATCCCAGCACTGGTAATCATATTCAGGGACTGTCAGTGATACTGAATGTATTTTGCTCTACTAAAAAAGAGAGATTTTCAGGCAAATGTTGTCTCTGTGGATGCTTTCAGAGCTTGTGTTAAAGAGAAGCTGTACACCTGCAATGGCATTAAGAATGGCAACAATAAAAGCCAAATTTTTGTTAAAGATTTCTGTTGTATTAAGTAAATGTCTGTTACTTGTTGCATACATATGGTTGGTTCTCCCAAACTTTTGTAAAAAGCTGCTTTCAGTTATGCAGTGACAAAAGTTAAGGGACCAAATTAGAATGCACATGTATTACACCACAGCTAATTTACACATATGATTGCTTTAACGCAATTTTCATGATCTGCCAATTTATAAATTCCTGTCATTTCAATTCAAATATGTATAAAAGGCTGGAGAGTTTCCACAGCGTTTGGCTTTTTGTCTTACTGCCTAGCTAGAGAATTATTTTTTTATTTTTGAAAATGTGTTTAAGAAGTGTTGTTTCTGCCAATGGTTTGTTATAATTAAAACAGATCCCTTTTGGCTTGACAAAAACTAAATAGGTGAGTATAAATGACCATTTTTCCCAGGGAAAATTGATTCAAGGCACTGTTTCTTAAAAATGGCTTTTAATTTTTTTTTTGAGCTTCTCTTATTAACTTCCCTTCAGAGTTTCTAAACTATGCACAGTTACACAATGCACAATTCAGAAGCATATCTCATTCCCAAAGTCTGTCTTCTTTAAAGGTACATCTCAATGAGCATTTGCCTTATTTCCATAGCTGTGGGATTTGTGATAATCTAATTCCTTGCAGTTTAACCAAAATGCTGCTGGTAAATCATCCAGCAGCTACATGTGCCATTGGAGCTTCGGTTTCCTTTGTTTAAATCAATATTAAAGTTCACCATAACTGCCTAAATAAGGAGTCAGACATACCAGAACAGGCCAATTAATTCCTTATTGGCAAGGAATCAGCATAGGAAGCAAATCAAATATATGTTAGGCCTATGTAAAACCTAGAACAGAGAGCCTAATCCTTATTCTACACCTGATCCTGACACCCTAGGCTGATTCCTGTGGTTCCATGACAGCACCAGGGTGGCAGATTTTCATTCACTAGGTCAGCAAGGCTAATTTCATTATCTTACTCACTGTGAGCTCTGCAGCTGAAACAAAATGAGTCTTACAGTTAATTTTATTTTCCAGAGGGAATGACACAGAAATGCTTTTTACTTGGTTAGCCTGAAGTATTTAACAGGAAAAGGGACAGATATTGGCAAAGGCCAGTAGACCAGTTCTGGCTGCATTTTATGAGAATACATTCAGAGGAACTCAGCTGAAGGCAAAACTACATTGGCAGATTATATTATAACTGAACCTAGTGAGAAAGGGAGATGATAGTTTCACAAATGTACCAAGAAAAAAGGGGGGGAGGGGTTCATTAAAAAAACAAACCCAAGCCTTTAAATGAAGGGCAGTGGCATGCTCTGAAAATCATTTTCAAGCTTTATGGTCTCAGTTGCATGTCCATTTCACAAAGGCAATGAAACAATTTTACTTTGATGAATTAGACTGTCATTTTCCTTGTTCATGATGCTGCGTCAAAACCTTAACTTGAAGTGAAATAGAAAAATTATACGTTATATATTTAAAGGACTTTTTTAAAAGCCCCAAATAAAAAATAGCTACCAGTAAAATTTTTCTGTGAAAATTTATGAGTTCTTTAATGTCATTATTTTAAGCGTAAGGGAAAATGTGTGCGTTAAGAGGAACTTAATAGAGGGCAAAAGAGTCAGAAAAAGCTTTTGGCTGCTACGGAGCTACAGTTCCAGGCAGATGTATCCATACATATATATAACACACACACACTTATGTCCCTTGAATTTTAGGGCGGTACTTCCTCATGAAAAGAAAGTAGTGAATCTATTATTACCTGATAAACATTTGTTTATTTTACTACCTATTACATTCCCAGAATCTCACAGAAATTATGAGGCTCTCTGTGGCATCACAAACCTATAACGGTGCAGTTCTACCTGTTTTAGCACAAAAAGTTTTTCGCCCAGGAGCTTTCAGACACACAAACAGCACAGAGAACATTAGGAACTACACAGTTCTGATACTTGGCCATAGGAAATGAGGCTCATTTTTTTTCCTGCTGTGACTCTCAGGTCTGTCACCTCTCAAAGCAATGCACAAACCCACACAGCAGCAGCAAGGAGAGAGACCCAAGGCCAAGTGCAAATACCAGCAAATAATGCACACAGTATTTTAGAGGATTAGGAGAGAAACGGGGCTGATCAAAAGAGGTCAGGAGATGAGACAGCCTGGTGGGATAAGGAGTTCAGCTTTCAGCAGTTCCTGCAGCCCCCAGCACATGGACCTGCCTCACACTGGGGTAATCCAGGTCCCCAGGCTTGGGCGCAATGACAGCAGAGGGGTGAGGCCAGAAGCAAGGCTCAGAACCTCTCCTCTGGGTCTGCTGAGGGCTACATCTCTCTAGCCTTGTCACTGAAACCTGCTCTGGGATGTGACACTGAGCAGTTTGCGTTTTCACAGGGCTGCCCTACGGTAGTTACCATTGCATTTATCTGTTACCATTGTCATTTAATAAAATAAATGACTTTTAAAAATTGTATACTCCTTGATCTTTCACTATCCACCTGATCTTATCTTTTCCCCATGTACTCTTGTGGTTAACAGACCACTGAGATATTTGGTAGACAAGTCTACTGTACCTTTATTATATCTCTCCTGCACTTCCCTTATCTTTTTTTCTAGATTAATCTTTTTTTATTCTACCAACTTAAAGCCTTTTCCTAGCTGTCCTCCTGATTCTACTAGTAAAATTCTTACTAAATTATGTGGCTCTATCAAGTCAACAAAGTGATGCATTTGCTTCAGACATGATCACAAAATAAATTCAGTAATAAAAAGAATTTTTTTTTTATTATCACAATATACACTGATTAAAATGCTATGTGGAAGCACAAAAATAATATTTATGTATACTATGTAAGCAGTCAGATGATCTCAATTTTAAAAGATAAGAGTGAATTCTATGTATTATTTTAGCCACCACAGACTTTTAATATGCAAAATTCACCAGAGGATTGAGATGGAGCTCCATTTCAGGTCATATATTTAACCTTGACAAGATCTGGTAAAACAAAGATGGGTAACACAAGAGACTCCTTTCCCCAAATAGCTTACCAAGAAATACAAACACAATAAAATGAAGCTCTTCATGTTGTAATTAGCCTGTGCTGAAAACATTGAGTATCTTTTGTTGTAATATGAGTTTTATTTGTAAGGAAAAAAATTGCTGTCACTTACATTGCAAATTATTCAAATTTATACAGCAGACTAATTTAACAGAAAAGGAAATAGGGTTCTTCTGTATTAGGTACCAAGTTATAATATGCTTTTAAAATGTATAAGCCTAGAGGAATATTAAAATGTTAATTTGGATAGTATTTAAAAGGTAATTACTTTTATACAATAAAAGAAGAAGTCTACTGAATACTAATCCCTGTTTCATGTGCTTTTTTTGAAATAATGCTACATTAAATAGAGAATCCATTTGTTTAAGTGATTTTAATTTAGATACCTGGAAGACATTATCATCTACAAAAACGTCTGGGTTTTTTCAGCTCAGCTAATGGAAAATCCTTACTGTATTAAATTCAATGTTGAAGAAAGTACCTATACTTGTGGGAGAGTGGTGAACTGAAAGAATGAGAGATTTTTAATGACTCTCCTGAAGAAAGCGTGGTTTGGTTGCTCAGCACAAGTGTTGCTACAAAGAGCACTGGCAGGGGCCACATGGAGCAGGTTGAGACTGATTGCTCCTAAACAAAAGCTGATTTCATCTATTCAAGCCTTTTCAGGGAAGGGTGAATGTGGAAAAATTTTATTTGCATTTCAGACCAGAGAAGCCTGCTCAGACTAGCCAGCATGTTATGTCCAACTTCTTGAATTATATAATCTAACCCCTTGTCTATGATAATCTTTTCAACGCATAGAGGGCATCCATCTTGGAACAACCTCAGAAAATTATATTCAGGTGTTTTATAACATATTTCATTCATGCTAATGTTTTTTTTATATTTTATTTTAAAATCTGTTAAATCAATGTTAATTTCTTTAGCCAGAATATTTTCTTCTGGTTGATTACATATATGAATTGTTTTGTTAAAAATACCACTTACCTAAGTTGGGTATTTAGCCAAATAAACATAGTTGAATCAAAAAAGCCAGCAACGCTCTTTAATTTGTAAGAAAGCCAGATATATTTTGATTATTTTTTTCAACATGTTATAAAAGAGATTTTTAGAAGACAGAGTGCCCAGGTGAGGTGTGGCACACAGCAGCAGCAAATCCCTGCTCTGGGCACACCATGGGGCACAGCTGTGCCCAGAGCTCAGAATGAAGAGGAGTAAGAACTCAGTAAGCTTTATTCTTTCAGACTAGATATCTGTTGAACATTACCTAATTTTTAGCAAGAATATGAAGCCCTCTAAATAATCTGATCAAGTTACAGCCAGTGCAGATGAACCACATAAGAGTTTTTCACACGGTGAAACTCAGGTTGATCTATGCTTAAAATGAGAAATGTTAAGAACCTCTCTGCTCTCCTAGGTCATTTACATATGCCCACTCTACATTCATTAGTTTGACATTTACTCCTTTTATTCTGTCAGCAGAAAGATGACTTGATTTTCACTGTTGCTATTACAATGTCACAGGTATAATAGCACTATGAACAGTGCAATAGATTTGCAGAGTGAATAAAATATGACTTCTGAAGAGTAATTGCTGGTAGGAAACTAAATTTTAATAACAAGTTTAATTTACAACAAGTTGGCAATTAACTAAATAGAATTATTTTTTGATCATGATTTTTAGATGAATCATTAGAGACAAACCCCTAACAAAAAACTTACCTCTCATCTAAAACATTACGAAAAAAAAGGTATGGTAAGTGATCATTTTCTTGAAAAGGACAGCAAAAGCAAGAGAAAAATGGTAGAAAATTCAGTAGTAATCAGACCAAAATGGAACTGAAGGAATGCATGACTCCATAGCCTGCCACTTCAGATGCTAATTTACATCTAAGGAGTTCTTTATCCAGTGAATGTGTTGTGGAAGTACAGTCAAAGTTGTGGCTAAAACTCCAGAAACTCCAGGAGCAGAAACCAAGTCTCAAGTTTACAGTTTCCCTGATGAGCTCTTTATCATCCTACAGAATCATTAAGCATACCCTAAAAAATATAACTTTCAGCTCCCTCTTGGGAGGGCTTCAGAGCAGAAGCTCCTCTTCAGCCATAACCCACTGGTGTGATATTCCCTGCCTCAGTGAGGCCTTGTGAAGGATGTGCGACCTCCTAACACTCAGCAGCTGGAATTAGTGAGAAATTGGACAAGCTCCTTTATTTGGATTTGCCCTAGTGAATTTATCCCTCATTCCTAACTATTCACAAAAGTTTAGAAGGCAGAAACACTTTTACTTTTACAGCTGAAGCTAAAAAAGAACCTGTTGCATATAATAAATGAATATTTTACATACTATAAGCTTGGATTTGTCAGCTGAAGCCCATGTAACACTCAAACTCAAAATGCAACATTGAAAACCTGAGAAATTAAAACAACTTTTATAATGTTCAGTGTCTTACTCTTCTGCTCCAGTATGACTTTCCTGAGTGAAAGACCTTCAGAGTGAAAGACCTTTTATGCCTTTATTGGGCATAAAAGCTTTTGTATAAGGCAAGTTTTCAAATGTTATTCAAAATTACTCTGTTGCCACAAAGGTACAATCTAGTCTTTATAATGTTCCCTTTAGAACATTCCCAGATAACTGGCAGGACAAAATTGTTGTTTGTTAAATTATCACCTAGAAGACGTGGTGAATAGATTATAATTTCCTCTATTTCCATGAATCGGCCTACTTCATTTACTGGTTAAGCAGCACAGCAGATTGCAGAAAAAAATAACCTGAATGAGCTCCAAAAATATATTTCTCTTTATCTGCTATAGTTCCATAAACTGCAGCTCACATAGATAAATCTTTTTCCATTTAGACTTCAAACTCTTATCTTCACATTACAGTCTGTAGAGCCTAAACTGAGATTTAGTGAACAAAGTAGCAGAAAAGACTGACCAGTTCTGATAAAACACAGAGTAAGATTAAGGCTTTATTGGGGAAAATGGTCCTGAGATTGCTTGGGACACAAACTCATGTGGGTATCTCTGTCCTCCAAGTGATATTTGATAATATTTCAGCCTTTCTAATTTGTAGAACAGATTTTGCTTCTTGGCTAGCAAAGGCTTTGAAAGGAGCTGGAGGACATTGGCCCTTTGTGGATTATAGTGGAAACAAGCAGCTCTGCCTCTTGCTGGTGCCAAAGATCATTGCTGGCTGCCTAATTTGGATCCATGAGCCCCCACAAGGCAAATTTTTTCCAGTTGTTGTTTATTAGAAGATGGAGCATTCATTTTTTCACTATAGGAAGATAAGCCAGAGCCTCATTATTTTTTAATATGGATTTTCCCCCTGCCCACAGCCAGCTCAAGTTAATGGGCCTGTGATTAATAAAACATCCTGGGGGTTGCACCTCCCTGTATCTTGTACACCAGGCCAGCAGTTAGTAAATTTGAGTGTATTCTTACAGAATGGTCACAAAGGTCAGAAAAGTTTCTTTTCCTATACCTTCTGGTCTTCCATGATGATCATTCAGCACAAAAATATACTCTCATAAGTTCCCTTTCTCTTTTGAATTATTTTAAAAAGAGTTAGACCAAGTCTTAGCTGTGGTGCAATATTGGTAAACTGAAAGTTTCAAAGTCTTTTTACTCAAGATTTAAGGCAGCAAAAAATAACCCCAAAGTTAATAGAGCAGTTTTAGTCTTTACATTTGTACTTCCTGCTGTCTTTGAAAAAAAACTAATTCTCATTCATGAGAAATTATTGATATATACAGATTCACAGATAAATTTACTTTAAGTAAGCCTTTGCAGTAAATTTGATACTTGCCTTTGCTGACCAAAAGGATGTGATGCAGAAGTTATATAATTTAATGCACATGTACTCAATCTTAAAATTGAAGCGTTGTAACTGGTGAATGACATTTCTAATTAAATATTAGCAGATCTGAGCTACAGATTAAAGGTGTTTTAACTGGTGGTATGCATCCAGCTGTTTTTAGAATGGCAACTGAAATTTAATGGATTTGAAGAAAAATAACATTTTATAATTGATTTGTTAAGCAGAACAAAGGAAAAGGGCTTTGGCAAATAATAACACATTTTATTGATGGATTCAAAGAAAAGAAGCTGTATAGTTTTGCAAAGAATTCAGCTGAGAACACTAAAACCAGGGCATCTTGTCTGACATCATATTTACTAAAAGCTGGCCTGGCAGTTAGAACCACAGTGGAGTCAGATTTGGAGTTTGATACTTCAACCAACTCAATAATATGATCCTTCAAGCTTTGATCCTTGATCAATGGATTTTTAAGAAGCAACTTAGAAACAAAATGTCAGCAAATATTTTGTCTTTAGGTTTTTTTCGTGGTATTTTTCTTCCTCTGTAACCTTTTTGCCTGCATCAGTTCACTTCAGAAAACCTTCCATTTGTAGTTTAAAGTCTTATTCAGGTTTTTCATTTAACCTGCAGTCTAACAGTCTTCTGTGAAATTTAACTAGCATTGAAATTATTTTAAATATTAACTTAAATGAAATCCAATATTAAAAAATGAACTTATTCATACACATTAATCCCAAGAGCACAATTATAACAGAATTGATAGTCTGAATTATTTTGTGAATATTTGAGAATGGATAAAGAAGCAGGAAGATGTAAAGAAAATCAGAAAGCCCATTTTTCATTTAGCTATTTAGGCAGGAATGACTATGACATTACATTACTGGGTAGTGATAGTGCTGGCTGTCAGGGAGTCTGATTTTTGCATTTCTCCTAGGAAAGTTTTCTGTAAAGAAGCACTTTCTAACCAAGGTGACAAGCTGGTGTATTACTATTAGCACATGTCCATAAGTTTCACTATTAAATCTATTTGAGGGCAGCTTGCATGCACTGAAATTAAAAAGTCCCAAAGTATTTCAGATAAACTACTTTTTTGTTTGATTTTGTAAACTGCAGGTACAGTCTGCTCTTCTCAGAGAACTTTTAGTGTTATTTCACTGGTAGGGAATTAGTTCAAATAAAAGGCCTTTAGATCTTTGAAATAAATCAATTTATATGTCAAGAATGCTGATTTAGACAAAAAATCTTCTGATTATGAGAATATTTGTAATGAACCATCAACTCTGGGCATTTTGTGACCTAAGTGCACTAGGTCAGATGAAGAAAAATCTCATGATTGTCACAAATGTTTTATAAATTTTGGAATTTCTAAATTACTCTTCACTCAATAATTTCAAAAAGCCCTCTGGGGTCAATACCCCCTTTTTAGGCTCTTTTTGATATTTTGCTACTTCCCTTCACCTAGCATTCAGACTGTGTCACCTTTC